CAACAAAACATCGGCCATTTCAACCACTTTTACACGTACAATTCAGTGACATAATGACGTTCATCATGTGCCACCCTCACCAGCACGCCTTTCTGAACTTTCCATCCAATTAACAGCGAACAAAGGTCGAGCCTGTGACTGGCCAGGCATGGCCTCATGAGCTGGCTGAGCGCCTCTGTGTCCAGGGCAGCAGGGAGGCAGGGAGTCCATCAGCACATCAGGCTCTCGGGTTATCCAGGGGCCAGCTGCCGTGCTCATCCACCCGCAGATGTTTGAGGGGCACTGCTATGTGCCAGCACAGCTGTAGACACCATGGATACAGCAGTGGTGCCTCGTTCCGGACCTTCTCTCTGGCTCGGTTGAGGACAGCTAGTGTTGAAGGGCTCAGCCTCTAGCCCACAGGAGCGGAGCTGACTGGCAGAAGAGGCCAGGTTGACTCCTTCCAGGATGGGGGCTGCTCAGTGCTCGGCACACCTGGGTGAGTGCTGGAGCTCCAGGTAGGTGCACTGGGGTGAGAGGCCAGGCCAGAGACTGCGGTGCAGCACCAAGGATACTGACTGCCACATCCCAGCACAGGTGCCAGAAGGAAGACACTTGATCAGGGACAGGAAACCAGTAATGAGCAAGGCCACAGGTATGATGACCAGGAATCAGTCAGAAAATGGACGGACCAGCAGGTAACTTCAGATAGAGGTGAGCTCGGTCAGAAACAGGTGCTGCCCAGGCGCCCTGTGGGCCCTCTCACCCCCCGTGCAGGGCGCCTCTGTGCCGGGCATTAGTGAGTGAGGGTCACTCTCAAGCCAACAGCCTGATGAACAGGTTGTTGGTTGTAAAGATCTCACTTTCATATCTGAAAGAGTTGCCTCAGCACCAATCCAGCAGGGAAAGTATGAGTAAACCATTATTCATCATTCGCTAGGGAAAGTCTACCTCCATGGCTCTTGAATCTCAGAAAGGAGAAAGAAATACTGACATTGATCAGTTCTTCCCCACAAACAGCTTCATATCCCACAGACACTGAGTCAGGAGAAGTCATGAGGTCATTCTAAACTCCCGGGTGATGCAAACTGTTAATGCTCTCGGCTACTAACCAAAAGGTTGGATGTCTGAGTTCACCTTAGAGGCACCTTGGAAGACAGGCCTGGTGATCTACTTCTAAAAATTCAGCCATTGAAAACCCTATGGAGCACAGTTCTACTGTGACACACGTGGGGTCGCCATGAGTTGGGGTCAACTTGGTGGCAACTACTCTTTTTTTTTTATTGTGGTGAAAATATACATAAAACATACACCATCTCAACAGTTTCTACGTGTACAATTCAGTAACATTGACCACATTCTTCAAGTTGTGCAACCATTCTTAATCTCCTTTCCAGAGCGTTCCACCAGCTGGCTACTCTCAAGGGTCTCTCATCTGGGTTGGTTTTAAACTGAATTGGAGAAAATATTATCTATGTCAGAAGTGTTCCTCTTTCCTTGGGTCTGTGAGAGCTGCTGGGAGTAGGGTACCCACTCGTGCTGGGAATGTCCCAGAAGTGCCAGACCGTAAGACCAAGAAGAGGAATCAGGAATCAGGCTCAGCCCCCTAGAGGACTCTGGTTACTGGTGGACGTGAAGGTTACTATAGAGATCAAGACAAGACAGCAAACCCAGAAGTACCTTGAATAAAACAAAAAGTGCCTTAGAAGTAAAACATTCTTCTCTTCAAGTTGATAACTTCTCGACTGCTGTTGGAATTCTTATCAGAGATTGTGTATCTCTTAATTGTGCCCCACCCTACTCTCCAGAAGTAACTGTCCCCCCAATCAAAAACTTCCTAATGTAATTCCTTCTTTTGCTTTGAATGTTAAATCTAATAAAGGGAAACGTAGCATCGTCGCTGGCTGAGTGTGAAAGTCAGGACGGCTGTGTTTATTTAGGGATGCCATGAGGCTCTCTTGATAGAGTAAGAAACATTAGAGCACAACCGGTTGGCTGTTTTGAGAATTTACTGGAGAATTAACTTCCGACTTCATTGCCATCTTGGATGAGAAATCATCAAATTTCCTTAATACGATAATCCATTTTTGCAACTCCAAGGGCCTCAGCTTGATTACAGATCATTAGGGTTTCACGGTGTGGAGGATGATGCAAATTAAATTAGGTGATGAGGAGGTGCTGCAGTGGTGCTTCTAAAAAGTGCTCTTTCAGAAGCACAAACCAAGTTAACTCTGACTCATGGCGACCCCGTGTGTGTGTCAGAGTAGAGTCGTCATCCATGGGGTTTTCAATGGCTGATTTTTAGGAAGTAGATTTGTAGACCTTTCTTCTGAGGAGCTACTGGGTAGACTTGAATCCCCAACCTTTGGGTGAGCAACCAAGCACATTAACCATTTGCACCCAGGGACTCCATCAAACATTTGGTAGTGCAATGATGCTGCGTGACGACCACGGTATCCTAGTGGTGCACAGCAGGAGGCTGTGGGGCTGGCTGGGTTGTTCTGCTCCATGTGTCTCTCATCTTCCCGGGACCAGGAGGCTGGCTGTAGCGTGTTCTTTTCCTCTGGGTGGATGTGAACTGCCAACCTGTAGGTTAGCAGTTGAGTGAGTAGTGTTCTTCTTGGCAAGAAACACCGATGTATTGAGGAGACTGCCGTTATGGACACTGGGCGCCGATGGGAGAGTAAGTGGCCCCATGCTCTCAACACAAGTCCCTTTCTCGAGTGACAAATCTAAGCAAATCTTTGAGATACTTATTTTAAGTGAAAAGCAATGTGTAAACATGATGAAGGAGAATGCAAAGCATGCACAGAAAATGACTTGAAGCCAATGCGTCTAGACATAACCCTAACACTTGGTACGGAACATAGTTTTGCTATTGAGATGTGAGTTGGAGAACACAATAGTGATTAAAATAATGTTTTAAAGCAGGGAATAAACTATTCATGATAAGCTTCTGGGAATAATTAGATAACAGGAACCTCTCCCGAACCCCAGTGAGTGAAGTGACAAGACCATTCCTACGGCGTCCAGCCCTCATGGCAGGGGGTCAACACAATCAGGTCCTCCTTGGATGTCAATTTCTCCACAGAACAAGGAATGACCGGGGTTGACTGTCACCCCCTCACCAAAGGCATTTTAGGAAATCTATAATTAGAAATTCAGCACCACAACTTGTCAATATAACCGCTTCTTTTTCCAGTATTTTTGTGTAAATTTGATCCATTAGTTCTTAACCCCAATTAGGTAATGTCTGAGGACAGCTTTGTTGTCATGACTGGGAGACCAGGCACCTAGTGGGTAAAGGCCAGGGATGTTGCTAAACATCCTACAAACACAAGACAGCCCCCACCACAGAGAATGATCTGGCCCCAAATGCCAACGGTGCTGAGGTTATCTTTATTCATATAAGACAGTTGACAACATAAACCCTCTCTCTAAAACACTTCGTATCTTCTAAGTGTATTTGATCACCCATATTCTGTGTAATCCATAACATGCATCATCTTTCTAAACCACCACTTCAAAGAATCTCTCTCTCTTGCAACAATTATCAGCGAAAATGACATTGCTAATTCGTATTTACTCAACACACACTCGTGTTCTCATCGTCCCAAGGGAGAAGAGGACAAGGAGGAGGTGGCTTACTTTTGGAATAAGACCTGGCTGTAGCTGTCCAGCACGTGGGCATGAGTGTGGAGCAGGATAGTGTTGTAGCCCACCAAGGCGGCCATCATGATCAGCATCTTCAACTCATAGTTCACCCGCAGGAACACCGAGCAGGAGATCAGTCCCAGGATGCAGCTGTATATAAAGTACTGGAACAGGCAGACATGTCAGACCAATGCTTTGGATCTAGTCTGAGAAATGCTGGAACAAGAACTGGGATTACGGACCACCACATGCTCACCTGGGCAGTTTATAAACTGGCTGTAAAACTGAGGCTTTTTCTATGCTGTGATCCAGCGGTAAATGCCTTAGCATATCAGATTCAGAGGATAATTACTCACCCCTTGGTTTTCTGACCCAGCTTAGCATGCATATTAAAAATATTCACATACATTGACAAACACTTCTCCGAAATAAAATTAAAAAAAATAATCTATACTGGAAGACATGTCATTATAAGGTATTTGCTTCCTGGAAATGAAAACAATATGGCCCCTATATATTTATGGATTTAAAATTTTTTCTGCAGCATATAGATTCTTTTTTTTTTATTGTGGTAAATATATAGGTAACAAACGTGCCATTTCAACAATCGTCACGTGTACAGCTCAGTGGCATTAATTATGCCCATCAGGTTGTTCAACCATCACCATGAACATGCTCCGAATTTTTCCACGCCCCCAGCATGGTGTCTTCCTTTCCCCCTCTCCCCCGTCTGCCCCTGGTAACCACTAATAAACTTTGATCTCTATACACTTGCCTATCCTAGATATTTCATATGTACTATATAGATTCTTCTTTGGTCTCTCTAGTCTTCAATTCATGAAGAGGCATCATTACAGATAACTCTGTTGAATGCTTAAGGAAGCTCAGACATCTAGCTAAATAAAAGAGAAATGTATATCAGAAGAGCCTGTCTAAAAACAGAAAGGATTTAAACTAAAAGCTTTGGCTGGGGTGAGTCAAGATTACCCCAGAAGGTAGACAGGCACCAGAAGAAGTTGGAAGAACCAAATGTTTGGAAGAAAGCAGACACATTCCATATTTCATCATCACAGAAAGTGGAGACTCTTTTCTATTTACCACAGCTGACACGGTAGAGCCCTGGATTCAATCCCTTATTAGTGGTCTTACTTTTGGCAAACAGCTTAACTTGCCTGCACTTCAGTATCTCCATCTGTCATACGAAACGGATAATACCGTCCTGGTAAGGTGGCTGTTGAGAACAGTGATGATGCAGAAAAGCTGGGGCGCCAGCCTGCATGCTAGGAGGGGCTCACTAAATGGGAACAGGGGCCATTTTCACGAAGTCTTATTTTCTACATTACGAGGGTCTTGTGAACAACGGGTTGTTTCACCGTCTTAGCATTCCTGGGACAGAGAAAGCACTCAATAAAGTTTAACACATTTTAATAAAAAAGAAATCTGATTGTTGTTTGAGAAACCTTGTCTTTAAAAGGTAGCCTGTTTTTGTACTCGATTTTATTTTCTTTATATTGAATAACAAGAAACCAGTGGCCGTCAAAAGTTGGTTCTGACTCATGGCAACCCCATGTGTGTCAGAGTAGAACTGTGCTCCGCGGGGTTTTCAATGGTTGACTTTTCAGAAGGAGATCGTCAGGCCTTTCTTCTGAGGTGCCTCTGGTTATCAGCAGAGTGTGTTAACTATTTGCACCCCACAGAGACTCCGTTATATTGAATAAGATATGTACAAATGCTTATCCTGTCATCCATAGCCCTGACTTTTATTTCCTCAACTAAGGCCATCTACATAAAAAATACTTTATATGATTTCATTAGTCCTCTTCATGGGGAAGAAAGGAAAGGCAAAAAATGTGCCCCAGGGGTGGTATCCATGCTTCCCTCTCTGTAAGGGGATGTGTGAGTTAGCTGCCACCCAAAAATTCATATAAGTCCCTTACCAATGAGGACCTGGACCTGGCATTTCAACTTCCAAAGACCAGCAACTCCTCACTGGATGACAGGATCTTGGTGGCCCCTGGATTCCAACAATTGGGTCACATTCAGGAAATGGTTTCCCTTGGCATGAGAGAGTGAGGGATACTCTTCATTACAGGTGACAGCATTTTAAGGGACATGGAGTACCGTCAGCACAGTTTCTGTGCCAAAAGTGTGGGCTTTCCATGCTTCTTGATGGCTATTATAAATTACCACTAATAAAAGTGCTATCCGTTCATACCACCACCAGCAATGAAGGCAGTCGCTTTCCCCACTCCCCTGTTCACCTCAGATAGCACAGGAAACGGGTTTTGAAAGAACGCTTACACTGTGCACACCCACAAATTGGCTTTCCAAATGTTCCTCTGGATCCATTAAGAGGGAAACTGGGATGCACCCAGGGGTCCGCTGGGACACCGAGTCTCCCAACCTAAGAGTGCAGCTTCCATACAGATGCTACCAGGACCCAAGCGTGAGGACTTCCTTGGCAAAGCCAACCGTGATCCACTCTCTGAGGACTAATATAGGGACAAATGTGGCCTGCTGGCTAATTCTACCCATGCTTTAAACGGTCTGTTGTGTGCTTTTCCAGAATTGTTTAAGGCTGAGTAAACGTTGCCTTTCCCCATCCTGGGCTTCTACTTAGTTGTTTCAATTGAAAATACGGGGCATACGGACTTCTCTAGATGGAGTTCACTTCATTATTGCTTTTAGTGAGTTCCATGCAAACATATTGGATGGGGAGATTTGGAGAATTCTTCTTAACATTCTTTGCCACTCATACTTTTTTTTTCTTTTTCCTGTGAGAATGGATCTTTCTTTAAACCTTTAAATTTAAAATGCCATGTGAATGCTGGATGGGGATGGCTCCGGGAGCTCCCTCTCTCCACTTCTCACCCATCACCAGGTAGCTTCTGTCATCTTTGGTTCAAAGACGAAGAATCGGGCAACACCATTAATCTAAACCTTTCCTTAAAGAGGAGGGCTACAAACTGCCCTCATCATAAATCCTTCTGGTGTCTTACTTTTCACCTCACTGAAGAGAAAATATGTCTAATCCTCACTGAGGAGACTTTGTGGCCCAATGATTAAGCACTTGGCTGCTAACTGAAAGATCGGTGGTTAGAACCCACCCAGTGGCTCCACAGGAGAAAGACCTGCCATCTGCTCCTGGAAAGATTACAGTCTAGGAAACCCTATGGGGCAGTTCTACTCTGTCCTATAGGGTCACTACGAATTTAA